GCCGAGCCGGAAGACGCCGCCGGGAGAGGCCTGCAGGCCTAGCGTGGCCCGGGAGAGCCCGACGAGTCTCTGCCGTGAGTAAAAACCAGCGCCCTCTGCACCGCGCTTACCCGGGTAAGATGGAGGAGATTTCGTTGGCCAACCTGGATACTAACAAGCTGGAGGCCATCGCCCAGGAGATCTATGTAGACCTGATAGAGGATTCCTGCCTGGGATTCTGCTTTGAGGTCCACCGGGCGGTCAAGTGTGGCTACTTCTACCTGGAGTTCGCAGACACGGGTAGCGTGAAGGATTTTGGCATTCAGCCAGTGGAAGACAAAGGAGCACGCCGCCTCCCGCTCTGCTCCCTTCCCGGAGATCCTGGGAATGGGCCCCAGCAGGAGCTGCAGCGTTCACCCCCAGAATTCCAGTAGTCACCACGTGAGAGAGGGCGACAGTGACCAGGACAATAATGTAGACTGGTCCCCCCGTGGCTTGGAGGAGTAAGCTAAGTTGGAGGAAAAAAAAAAAAAGAAAAAAAAAGGTTAAGAGCCCCAGTTACCCTTAAAGATCTTAGCATTAAAAACAAACAACAAACAAACAAACAAACAAACAAAAAAGCCCAAAGAAGAGAATTTAGGAATTTGGATCCATTTGGAAGGATACCCAGTGTCAGATGATCAGATCTTGTATCCTGGGTAGGACAGTGTCCACAGGCATCATGCTGTATTTTGAGCTCTATAAATACACCTGGATGTGCAGGATCCCTGTGTTGCCCTCTGTACACAGGTGAGCAGCTGTGTACCCAGCATCGAAAATTCTTTTTCTCAGATTTTTTGCATCTGCTTGATGTCAAGGGCTTCCGGCAAAGTTTGGATGCTGTTGATGGTCAGGTCATGATCAGTCAGTTTCAGTGGACTGCTCCTCTGATTTCTCAGCCTCCAACTGGGCCTCTTATTGATCCAAATGAAAGTCAGGTGTGAGACTTGGATACTAAAACAAAAATATTAATTCCCATTTGAATTTGGTAGGAAGCCCTGGACCTTGTCTACAAGAAGTTAAGAACCACCTGTTTCCCAGAGGTCCAGCATTTTCAGTGATTTCAGCTGATGTGGGGACAAAGCCTCACCTTTGTCTCATCAAAAGCCCTGTCTTTCCAATCCACTTAATGGCAATGGTTTGGCCAAGGACAAGGTGGTTTACAAACAGTTGAGGATTTTGGTCGGATGCTCTGAGGATGAAGTAGACCCCTGCAACTGCATACCATCTCTACCTGAAAGATTCCTATCTTGAGTCACTGTGGACATAAGTTTGGTGGGACAGGACAGTCTTTTCCTACTTTTGAGTTACTGGTGATGTAACCAGTCTATGGGTCTGACTCGATGATTGTGACAAGTCACTGTCCTCCAGGGGCACCACAGAGGTGCAGTGGCCAAGCAGGAGACTGTTTGAAAAATTGAGCCAGGAGGGAGATTTTTGCATCTGCCCTCAGTAATGTGAATGAGTTCAATGCTAAGGGCCCTAAAACAGGCCTTGCTTACCTGGTATCATTGCAGAATCTCTTTTTCCTTAAATTGTGCAGTCAAGACTTCTGCTTTGGTGAATTAAGACCACCACCACCTTCTCTGCCCTCACAAATGACAGTACTTCACTGTGTTCCCTGGACTTCCTTGGCAGCATGAGCTGTCTTTTTGGTTTGGGGAGTTGGGGAAAGACCTCCAAATTTCCCTGACTGAAGGCTGGGAGAGGAGTGGATGGGAAGTGAGCAGTGGATCAAACTGTCCTCTGTGTTAGTCCCTAAGTGAGGGTTGATGGAGGGTAGGAGGGTGAGAGTCCTGAGGTGAGCAGAACAGAACGGTGCTGCTTTATTTGAGATGTTTTCTTACCTCATTCTGTGCCCCAGTCCAGGGTCCAGCCTCATCTGTCTGGCTTGGCCATGTTCCTGTCACTGCTCCACTGCCTATCTGGTGCAGCTCATGATTCCAGGTGCTGCTTGCCACTCAGTTTCAGTTCATCTCCAAGGTTCCTGCCTCTGAAGCCTATACAAGTTTCCTTTTTCTTTCTTTTGTTTTTTGTTGTTGCTCTCTTAAATTTTTAAGTTTTTATGTTGTTGGTTTTGTTTTAACTGTTTTTATGGAAGACTGGAAGGAGAATCTTCTCATGGTTCCCCTCTGTGTAGATGGGGATGAGAAAAAATAATCTTTTTTTTGTGTGTGTATTTACAAGGCAGTGTCATGCCTAAGTAATTCACTTACATAGGACTGCCTTGCTAGTCTATGCCCCTGCTTTGTCCTGAGTTCTTTCTTCCCATTGCTGCTTGGATATTGCCTCTTAGGACTTAGAGCAGAACCATGAATGCTGGTGTACACAAGGATGGAGTTCGTTCTGCTCCACTCTCAAACCCTACTGTGGACATGTCTCCCTTTTCCCGGGCTCTGTCTGAACTGGATGGACTGATTTGGGTTACTGACTCAAGAGTTAAGGAAACCATAGTGATTGGGCCTTGAGTCTGACTATCTGTTGCCTTCTCAGAGTTTTCCAGCTCAGGGTTGGGGCCTAGTTACAGTTTGATGGATCCTTAGTCCACGAATTATGAGAACTTAGAAAAGAATGAAACCTTGGCCAGAAACTAAAGATACTTTTAAAGATCCCTTGCTACTTGAGTTGTTTCAGCACCTTCAGTGAATTCAAGGAAAAGCATCCTTAAAAACTCCTGTTTATTTAAAGTCCTTGGAAACAGGATGAAAGGGAGAAAGGCCACGGCCCACCCACTCTTGCCTTCAGATAGGGAGCTCAAATGTGACTTAAATATTTTCTTTCTGCTCTTTTCTGGCTAGAACAAGAAGTGGGTGGTAGTTTGGGGTAATGGTTTGCTCATATTACTTCGCTTTTTTGTTTTTGTTTTCTGTCTCCATCATTTCCATTAGGGCCATAGCTCCCCACCCTGTGTAGATATAAGGTGGGCTCAGTTCAGCTATTACTGCCCTGAGGGAACAACTACTTTTTTGGAAGCTAATGTTCTCCACCATATAGTTGACAGTGGTTAGGAACTGTCCCTTCCTTCCCTGCTTTTCCTGTAACAGCAGAATTCTATCCTTCCTCTTCAATTAATTGTATTGACCACTCTGTAATCCTATTATGTATCTGAGTGTGTGTGTGTGTGTGTATGGGGTAAAGGGGTTCTTTAAAATTTCTGTGGTTTGTGGTTTTTTCTTCCATAAATTAGTTACCACCACCGCATGCCCAGGGGCCACTACCTGGCATTATCGCATGCTGGGATCATTGGGGGAGGGTAGTGTGAAATTTACCACTGTCCTTTGTTTTGGAGATTCTTATTTTTTAATAAGTAATCCATCCTATACAAATAGCTAATTAACTGTGTGTTCCCCTGCCCATATGGCTGCTGGTGTAAATAAATTGCATTTTCCCATTGCTAAACAGTAATAATAAAATTTAAAAAATAATATATTTTGACTCATTTTTTAATGGCAAATTTCCTAGATTTTGGTATAGCAAAATAAATGTTTAACAGCTCTTGATTCTTGGTACTTGAATAGGACATATATTAGAATCCATAGAGGAACTCTCTTGCTTTTTGTTTCTGATTCTAATCCTTCAAATTTAGCCATGTACAGTATCCAATGAGAGGGGGAAAAATTACATAATATTCCCTTTTCCATATGAGGTCAAAGGGGGATAAAATAAATACAGTTCAGGCCTATTGAAAGTGTACTGTGATAGGTTAACTTGAATAGAACTTAATTGTTTTAAATACGTATACTATCATCAAGCACTTCTGACAAGGAAATGATACCTAGCAGAAAATAATAGCAGTGTCCTATATTGTCTCAACTCCTTCAGGGTTTTCATTTGTTTTAATCTAGAGATGGAGCACTTTCTAGAAATTGTCCTTAAGACTGCTTAGTTCTGATCATTTTCTTACCCATCCTTGTAATTCATTAAATAGTTTCAAGTTGGAAATAGATGAGCAAAAAAGTAGTCATGGAAATGGGACCAGAGTAGTTAAACTCTTAGTAGGATGCTTCAAATAGCCTTCAGAAATGTCATATGGCATTCAGCTTTCTCTCCTATGATCTTAAGTTTTAATTAAACACAACTGTACAGTTAAGATCAACAGTCCTACTTGTTGAAAAAAGGGGGTCTCTATTAAAGTATATAAGACAAGTTAACTAAGATAATCCTGAAAATACAAAATTTTCCTTAAATTCCATTAAATCTATATAGAAATCTACTAAAAATTAGTATTTCAATTAGCTGATGAGAAAATAATCCTGTTTTGTAGACTTAGATATAGTTACTCCTAAAGATTTTCTACAATGAGATAAAGACCTTAATTATATTCTATAGTTAATATCTTTACAAGTAGAAAAGACATCAAATACTTCGTAGCTTTATGCTAGATTTAGATATATGTGAAACTATTTGATACAAAATTAGAAGTTGTGCTGACATAGTAAGGATTCAGGCAGACTTGTTCTGCAAACATTGATGATAAGTGCCCCCCAAACCTGAGTTGTCAACTTCTGTTTCTTTTAAAAGTGTCTTAATAAATGACAAACATGGAGCATGTATCTATGCACTTAAACACCAGGTGACAGTATCTCTTCACATTGATGCTGAAAAGGGTTCCAGTAACAGTGTCAGCCCTCAAGTTATCATTAATAAATACTTCTTTAGAAATTGACTGTGATGGAGAAAGTGTGCCATTCATCTTGTTTTGGGTAATACTTATGACGAGTGTTAATATACACTTATTCAAAAAGATTGCACATAAAACTGATAGGCCTTAGAGGTTAGTTTGATTTCCCAATTTTGATAACATTTCTAGTTCTACTAGGGCCTCATTGGAAATAGTAATGCTAAGAAATAATAAATTAATTTTAGGAATGAAAATACCCTGTGTCTTACTTAGACTTTGGAAGCCTAAAATCACTAGAAGCGATGGAAACAAACATAAAAATGCAGATACTCATTTGTTGAAATAATTTAATGAAAGGTTAAGTTTCTAAATCCCTGAAGTTAAGTTGGAAAAAAAAAAAAGCATGATTCTTAATAACTTTATTGTAGTGGATTTCAGAATGAAAAATAAATGTTTGAAATGCAACTAGTCAAAGGTGACTTAAACCAGGCATGGTGGCGCTTGGCTGTAGCCCAACTTGTGAGGTACGAACATGATTATAAAGAGTTCAAAGCCAGCCTTAGCTGTGCTCAGTCACTCTAGAATTTCTAGATAAATGAATATATCTATAAAAATTCCCACCCCACTTTTACTCTCATAAAAATTACTTAACAGAATTTTATAGATAGAGCAAACTATCATGCAACAATATATTTCAAATATATTTTGATAAATATATAAACTGGAAATGGTAGCAAGCCACCTCTTAAAAATATCAAAAATAAGTATAATCAAGTTAATCACATACTATCACACAAATAACAAGGTAGTATTAGAGAAAAAATCATAGAAATTGCAACAGATACACAAAGATAGTTTTCTGAAAACGATTTTTAAAATGATTTGTATAGAAAAGGGACTAAAGGCCTTCTGTACATTGATGAAGAAGGCAGGCCATCTGCAACAGTACTTCATGCTGATCCTTGGAAGTGGAAGGATGCCTTCCAAAAGTAGAAATGACTTCCACACACTGACTGACCACTTGTAATTCTGGGAAGGGGAGGCAGGAAGACTGCTTTGATGTAAGATCCACCGTGAGCTACTGAGCGACATACTGAATTCAAGGCCTGCCTGAGCTACAGAGAGACCTCATCTCAAATGAAAAGAATGAGTGGGAGTTAAATTAACAGTTTTCAGTTATATGGATACTTTAATAGATTCCATAAAAATAACATTATTGAGAGACTGCAGAGTCAGAAGTGTGTGTGTACCACAATTTACATGTGTAGTGGAATATAACCAACTGTAATTGTTCTGTGAAATAATATACCAACAAAGACCTTAGGCAAAATGAAATTTCCTAGTGTGTTGAAAATAACCCAAATGAAGAAAGATGAATGCCCATGGATAGAAAATATAATATCCTTGCGCCAAGTACATGAGTTAAAAATGATATTGTTAAAATACAACAGATTTTTTTTAAGTTTGCTAAACTGATTTTAAATTTTATGTGAAAAGTGAGATATAAAGATAAGAATTTAACATGAGAATACTTCACTTGACTTTATTTCAGAATTTCACATTGATATCATGAAAAGCTTATATTAGTAAATAGTAAGGCAGTGTTTTCTTATTCATAAGTGATTAATAGAATCTCTCTAAAGTTATAAAATTTCCTCTTTAGATTAACAACTTAGCATAGAAAGGTAACATCATTTTTTTAACGTAGAAGGATGTTTTGTGTGTAGGAAAAAAAATTGAAGGTAACGATTGAAAAATAAATATTAGAGCTAACAAAATCAAAACCTCTTGTTCATGAAATCAGAAATACACAATAACCCAATGCCATAGATTGCTGTCCTTTAGGATATAGGCATTATGTAGAAAATAATTCTAAAATTGATAAATGTTCAGAGTATAAAAACTCATTTTAAAAGGAAATATCCAAATGGCCCAAAGGATATGAAAAGTGCCTCCTAAATTCAGAGAAATGTAAAATCAAAAGGCACACCAGTTTGTGCTATTGATTAGGATTAGACTAATGTAAATGGTTGTGATCATACTTGAGTACATTCCCAAAGTGTGCCACATCTCACTACAGAGATACTTACACAGTTTTTATTGCTACTCTTTCATCATAGCAAGGAAGTAAAATTGTACTAGATGTCCATCAACAGATAAATGGAGAATGCACATGATATGGAATGGGATTTATTGAGCTACATATTTATTAAAATTATGTTATAAAGTTTTAATTTATTGAGAAAATTAAATTATGAAATTTGCAGGGAAATGGATGGAACTGGAAAGCACTAAATGAGTTAACCTAGAAAGTGCCTCATTGGTGGGATAAAGGCTTCAGAAGAAGCAGGCTGGGAGCAAGTAGGCCTTAGGAGTTCTAAAGTTGAAGGAAGGAAGAATGCTGAGCAAGAAAAGAAGGGGGGAGAAGGGGACGGGTGGAGGTGAGGGCTCAGGAAAAATGGATTATGTTTACAAACTTCATACGGGAACCTGCTACTTAGCAAGCTTACTGAAAAGGATAATCAATTCTGACAGTCATGTGGAGGAAATTTAAACCACAGCAAGTGAGCAAAAGCCTTGCTGTCCTCTTCACAAAACAAGGCTAATGTCCATGATCCCACTGTGCTTGCAATACAGGAAGGTTGAGACAGAGGTGAAAATAGGAGCAAACAAGACATTGCACTATGAAAAATACAGACACCGTTACAAAAATGGGGAATAGGCCCTGTTCTTCACCACTCAAAACCGCAAATACACGTTTCTTGAAAAGCCTCCATCTGTAAGGAAAGGCTGGCCAGGCATTATAAAATAGGATAGATAAGTAGATATGTACCTTCCTGTCTTCGGAGAGAACAGATGAGAAAACAAGAAACAATGACAGCCAAAGGTGAACTAAATGTATCATCAACTTTCCCATAGTTGTTTTCAGTTCTCTTCTCCTGAAAGTTAAGTGTGCATTGAAAGTTGTATTGTGCTTCCCAACACCTGACTGACTCTGTGTCCCTAAGTTTTCACAAAATATGACTAATAGCATATTTCATTAGAAATTTCATCTGCACCCCTTGTATCTAATCATTTACTTAAAGAAAATTTTGTTGCTCTACTTCATTATTTCTCCTAACAGTACTGAATTAAGACCCCTTTCTTATGAGTGTTATTGGGTACAGAATACAATTGCTATAAATGAAACATTTAATAGCTGAATTTTAATAGAAGGACAAGAAAAGTTCAGGGAGGTAACAGTTGCTAAGTATTCTTTCTGACAAGCAAGTTTGTATCTCCAGCACCCAGGTAAAAAGCTGGGTGTGATGGGGGAGGGCCTAGGCCCTGCCCCAAATGATGTGACAGATTTGATGATCCCCATGGAAGGCCTTGCCTTCCCTGGGGAGCAGAAGTGGGATGGAATGGGGGTCAGTCAGGGCCAAGGGAGGATGGGAGGGATCAGGAACTGGGATTGATATGTAAAATAAGATTGTTTCTAATTTAAATAAAGAAAAGCTAGGCGTGGTGACACACCGCTGTAACCTACAAAAGTAAAAAGGAGAGCAGTCAAGACACCCAACATTAACCCCTACTGAGCATGTGCCATGTTGCACTTGACAGATCCCCACGTAACAGGTACACATGCTGCATATGGACATACAAACTAAAACTAAAAGCATAAAAAGTGAAAAGAGAATAGTGACATAGTATTGAATACAAAAGCAATAGGACTTCTAGACATGAAAAGTATAAATAACACATAATAGGAAACAGTTAAACCGGCAAAAGAAGGAACGAATTGAAGGGAAGCAGCTGACACAGTA